TAATATAATTAAAAATTTATATCAGCAAGATGAAGGGTATAAGCATAATTTTTTTTTTTGTAATTCAATTCATCTTTTATACGAGTACCATGTCGTTTGTAAATATTTCCATACATAAAAAATTAACAATTTTTTTCTTTACATTGCTATATATTTAATTTAACTTAACCAAAGTATGCTTAGTTAACAAGGAAGTGTGAATGGAAGATATTGGAAATGAACATAACAATAACGGAAGCAATATAAATACCGAAATTATTAGTTTCAGTGAAATATTTATTGCAACATTTTTTTATTTTATTTTATTATTTTTTCATTAAGTTAATTATAAATGAAGTATTAGATATGCTATAAAGAAATCGTAAATATGTATTATTAAATTTGGAAATTTTCAGTTGTCTGCTTCCTGCTTCCTTTAGAGCAATTTTATACGCGTAAATGGAAGTGCATTAAATATTTATTCATTGCCATGAGCACAAAACTGTATTGACTGTATTTCATATAATATTTATAACAGTTACATAAAGAATAAACATCTAACTGTTGTGATATGCATAGACTTATTGGAAAAAGATAAAAAATATGTTATATTTGAACTGGAATTTACATAATTTACAATCACTCTACTACAATGTAAAGTCTACTGACGAAATATAAGCGCAACAATTAAATTTAGTACAGTGGAAATTTTGTCTTGTATCCTTTATAAATTCTAAGTTCATAAAGAAAGATGCCAAAAAGTGAGATAACACAAACGAAAAATACGTAAATTCTACTGTATAATCATGATTCAATAATGAAAGGTTTTGTAAGAAAAACTTTCTCTCGCTCTAATTTTATCAATGACACTCCCACCCTACTCCTAAAACCAAAAACAGTGATATTTCTTTTCCAAATATCTTTGCAAGTTTTAAGAACATTTTTAAATCGTTAGTAGTGAAATTTTTACTTTTTAAATTTGAAGAAATGTTTGTTCTTCATTCGCTGGCGCCAACAAGACAAAATGGGTGAGCATCGTTGGACTACAGAAATTCAATGTAGGCTAAAGAGACGAAATTCTCTTAAATGCCGAAATATATTTGTCGATATTCGTGGAGACCTCTTGATTCTGCCAAGTCGCTGTAAAGTAAAGCATGCAATGGTTTTGGTAAATGAGCCAACGAAGGTATTTAGGTATTGTCCTCCACAACACACTCCTGGTGTCTCCGAATGAGGCTTTGATGCAATATAATATTGCCAAACCGCATCCATAGGCCCAATCGTCACACGACAGCTCGGTTTAGTCAATGGC